TTCAATTTTATTAAGGCGATCCCATTCATCTGAGGCCTCTAAAAACTTCCTTCTTTCACCCAAAGGTATATTTTCCTCACCGACACGTGAAAATCAACTTTGTCTCCATCGTTGCCTGAAATAAAATCCTCCAAACAGCGTTAAAAACACAACCACGTGTAGAAAGATGCCTCATGAAAGTTAAAAAGTGACCTCTACTCAGTAGCCAAAAGTGAAACTGAAAAAATAATGAATGAGGTCTGGAAAGTACAGTGTTTGCATTCATAGAAACCAGGCTGGGAATTTTATAGATGAGCCTTCTCCAACTTGGTACAAAGTGTGTTTGGACTACCGCTCCCATCATTCCCAACCAACCTAGCCAAGGCTCTTTTTCACACCATCCCTAATGCTTTTCTACTTAATTGGAAATATTGGCTTGGGGGGCTATGGATCAACTGATTTCATTGCCATTTCCAAGCAAGTCTGAAACTTTTTTTTATTCACACAATTCTGAGTTGCAAACTTCAGAGAATTTCTAAAGATTGTGTTAACACCTTAGCCGAGGGGGAGCCATGAATTTAATCGGTAATTTGTTCAGGGTGTTTGTAAGCACTGTGCCAAATGATAGAATCCATGGCTCCAAAATGGGGCAAAAATCATTTGCTCAGTTCACGCAGGGGAGAATTTGGGGAGCTGGAAGTCCAATGTGGATGCTGCTTGTCAATTCCCAACATAGTGGGAGTGACAAGGCTGACTTACTAGGTGTAACAGATAAAGCAAGTTAACATTTTATATAAGAGAGAGCTAGAAGTGTGTTCGGCTAAACCTTCCCCTTGTTTCTCCTTCCAAAACTGAAATAATTATCTTTGAGATTTGTACTTTCCCAAATATTGTCACTGGGGCACACATACAAGAATAAACCCTCCGATGGAAAGAAAGATACACAGGGAGAAAAAAGCACATACGGAGATGCAAAGCTACTTGAGAGTAAAACACAAATGCATTTTATACCGAGGATCCCTGCTGGCGATAGGGTGTTTAGTGTGTTCAAAACGGTGCACACAGTGATGCTTATAGAATGTAGTATTTAAAGAATTGAATGTCTAAAATGATGCACTCATTTTGGTATTTTTTTTAAAAGGAAGCAAGGCAAACTGTCAAAGAAAAATGAGCAAACTGAATTTGACGGATTAATCACTCCTCTTTTCTGTTCCTGGCTCCAACTAGTTTATTTTGAGGATCTAGTTTGTTTAGTTAAAGAAGAGACGCTCCACAGGTCTAAGATTCACCCAAGGCGGTTCTACTGAGTAAAAGATCACGGTGCAATCTAGCGTTTAAGAATGGAGAAGACTAAATTGTTCAAACAAGCAGCACAATGAACATATTCTCTATGCATTTTTTTTAACCAGCCCAGCTGGTGGCTGAGACCATATCTTGTGGCAGGGAGTTCCATAAGTTAACAGCCAACACCATCCAAAATAATTTCTTTTGCAAGCCCCAAATTCACAGCCTCTTCATTTGATTGGAACAGATCCATTTTTTGTTACTGAGAAAAGCAGAAGATGGTTAACTATTAATACCCTTACCATATTTTATAGATTTTTTTTTTCCTATGGTGAATTTCTTCCCCTGTCCCAAAAGAGGGGAAAAGACACCTAGATTAAATTTCACCTTGGTTGTAGAAAAGAAATTCCAATTCCTTGAACATCTGGCCACATTATTTCTTTAGCCTCATAAACAAGGGTTCCTGATCTCCTGGGACTACAATGCCCATCACTTCATTGGCCATGCTAGTTGTAGAGGATTGGACTGGGGGTCCAAAAACATCTGAAAGGCTGCAGATCCCCCATCCCGCTCTGCAACCGCTGTTTTGCAGGGAGTGAAGAATGTATTCCAAAGATGCGCTATTCAGTTCCTGTTTTATTCCTTCACAAGGCCGGGCATGAAATTTGCATTTTCCGCAAATGCCACACACCCAGTTTGCATTCCACAAAGTTCCCCACCTGGAGGTGTTTCGTGATGCCCTTGGCAAATGGCTGCTTTGGGTTTTGAAATGCACCGAGGCTTTTCAACTTCCTTGAAGGTTTCTCTACTCTGAGCATGGCTGGAGGCTCAAAACGTCCAGGTGGGTCTCCCTCCCTGGAAGATCCAGGATGGGGCAACTCATTGCTACCCGTTGAAACATTCTGGAGCTTTTCAGATCAGAAGATTATCCTTCTCTTGAGAAATGAATAAATCAACGGAAGCGGTGAGGGGAGGCCGAGAACCCAGCAGCAGGACCAGGATTCCTACCCCGGTAGTTCCAGAAACAGCTGTAAAAAATTCCTGCTTAAAAGTCTGGAGAACAGGGAGCAGTCCTGTGGACCACACTCAACTACTGTAGCAGGATCAACTAAAGCGTGTTCTGAGTTCAATCATCAGCACCATGAGGACTAGAATCTTTGTCGGATTATTATTTAGAAGGCAGACCACTAGTACTGTACAGACCCGGGTTTGCCTCCAGAAGGTCTAAAGTTAAATTCCAGAACTTCCAGATAGGACTAGAAACATCCTGCCAACATTCTGACAGTCAAAAACCTGGTTGGGATGCCCAACGTGGTGACTCAGTCAGCAGATAGTTTATGTTCCTACCCCTTTTTTTGCCTATAAAATATGCACTCAGCATACAGTTGTTGTTTTTTTACAACTCGCCCGTAACAACGACGAAATCCAACAGGACAGTGGCAAGAAAACACCGCTATTCCCCACCAGCTTCCTCAAATGACTACAACACCCATCCCATCCAGGGGAGAGGTTGATGGAACTGTAGTCCAGCACCGGTGCGGGGCAAACAGCCTGGGAGGAACTCACCAACGCTTGGCACAACTACGTTCTGCCGCAGCACAAATAACCAGGCTGGTCCGCTGCTTCCACCCAGTTGGGTAGAGTTGTACAGTAACCCCCTAAGAGAACCCAAAGCCTCTCTGCCCATGCTCAGAAACGCCCTTTCTCCTGCGTTAAAGCCACGTAGGTACAGTATGGTCAGGGCTGCAAGCCAGCGGGTGAGGGAAGAGCGTCCTGAAGCTGATCTCGCAACGGGACGGGTTCCACTTTTGCGGCTCCTCCGTTCCGTCGAGACGCTCGGCTTTCCCAAAATAACAGAGCGAGGGAGGCGGCGAATCTCTCAGGCAGGCGCACTCCAGGAAGAGCTGGTTGTGTAATAGGCAGATGCTAATAATATTTTTTTCTAAAAGGCCAATCCCAGCCGGGTCCCGAGATCCAGGGCTTCTCCCTCGCCAAGCCCACCTCCCCAAGGCCATCCCGAAGTATTTACCTGCACCCGGCGCGTGGCTCGGCCTAGGACGGCGCAAAAAAGGCCCGCAATCTTTACCGGAGGAGGGCAAGGAAAGATGGGGGTGCAGGAGCGTCGCT